GTGTGCTCCGCCGTTGTTCGCTCCTCTCTACCCCCCTCCCGCTCGCACAGCCCTCCCCCCGCCTCCCTCGCCTCGCAGGTGCAGGGCAACGACCCGATCAACGACATCAAGCTGCTGTTCAACACCATCGGCTCCGTCATCAAGGGCAACGCAATCGCAAAGCCCGACCGCACCTTCTCCAACCCCGTCGAGTCGCTCAAGCGCTTGTGAGCGCGCGGGGCGGGGACGCTCAGCGGCACGAGCGCACGCGCGCTCTGCGGCTGAGCTGCAGCAGCTGAGCGGCCGCGGTGCGCGGCCGCGACCATACACTCACGATGATGCCGGCAGCCGGATGGGAGGCGGCGCCGAGCGCGCGGCCGGCGCCACTCCGGCGAACACCGTACTACATGCGCACTAGCACGATTGCGATATTGTCCATGTAACCGTGGCACCCGTAGAGAGTCATTAGCACTCACGTAGAGCGCCACGCGCATGTGGCTCTTATTCCGTCGGGGTGTGCCGCCTGTCTTGTCGAATGAGTTTTGGGAGTATTTCGAGTATCGAGAGTATATCTGTGAGCAGAAAAGGAAAGAAAGAAAAAGGCACCGGAAAGAAAGAAGACCCTTAGGATTTTGGAAGGATGTAAAAGAATTTAAACAAAACAACCTCTCCGCAGCACACGCAGGCTCGAGGCACAGGTGCGAACTGGCGCGTGCTATGTAAAAGAAAGAAAGAAAGAAACGACAAGCCAAGGGTCAAGGGAGGGATGGGAGAACGGCACGCCGCCACCACACAGGGATTTTAAGGAGAGGTGTGTGATGCGCTAGCCGTCGCCCACCCTAGGGAGTCTGGAGCAGGCGGACATCGCTGCTTCCAGGGAGGGGGGCGCGCTTCTGCTCACGCCCCACCCCCCCCCTAGCATATGGTGAAGCCTCTGGGGGGGTCGGGACACCCCCCCTAGCATGTGGTGAAGCCTGGGGGGGGGTCGGACCCCCCCCCCCAGCATGTGGTGGGCACCCCCCAGCCGTTCGTGGGCTAGGAATAGCCGCCAGAGAGCCGATTTTGCCCCCAAAGTTGTGAAATCGTGGCTGAAAGTCCAATATCTTGGAGAACCTGACCAGTCTCAAGGCTCATGTAGCTCCAAAGGATGATTTTCCCCTCGAAAATGCTGCGAAAAGAGGGGTAAAATCAAGGGCCCGGAGGGTCTGACCACGAGTCTCTGGGGGGGTCCTCGGCCATGACCCC